CTTCCCTGATGCACCTAAGATCCTTCCCTAATGTACCTAAGCTCCTGCCCTGATGTACCTAAGCTCATTACCTGATGTACCTAAGATCCCTTCCCTGATGTACCTAAGCTCATCCCTTAATGTGCATAAGATCACTTCCTTAATGCACCTAAGATCCTTCCCTGATGTACCTAAGCTTATCCCTAAATGTGCATAAGATCACTTCCCTGATGCACCGAAGACCCTTCCCTGATGTACCTAAGCACCTGCCCTGATGTACCTAAGCTCATCCCTTAATGTACATAAGATCACTTCCCTAATGCACCTAAGACCCTTCCCTGATGTACCTAAGCTCCTGCCCTGATGTACCTAAGCTAATTCCCGAATGTACGTAAGATCACTTCCCTAATGCACCTAAGATCCTTCCCTGTTGTACCTAAGCTCCTGCCCTGATGTACCTAAGCTAATTCCTGAATGTACGTAAGATCCTTCCCTGTTGTACCTAAGCTCCTGCCCTGATGTACCTAAGCTCATTATCTGATGTACCTAAGCTCATCCCTTAATGTACATAAGAGCACTTCCCTGATGCACCTAACACCCTTCCCTGATGTACCTAAGCTCCTGCCCTGATGTACCTAAGCTCATCCCTTAATGTGCATAAGATCACTTCCCTAATGCCCCTAAGACCCTTCCCTTATGTAAGGCAACAGACTTAAACGAGGCCAGTCTTGGTTGGGTCAGGCAGAGTCAGTACTTCAACTGATGATTTTCCTTCAAGACATAAACCCTAGAGAGGAATGGATACCCATACCAAAGGAATACAAACTGTACTTTGTGGTGGTTATCATCCTGACAAGACATGCTGTGATATGGCACCACCAAAAGTTGATGCAAAAGTGAAAGCCCTGGTGGAACAAACATCACTGGAAGATACTGTTATATATACAGATGGTTTGTGATTCATCAAAAGCAAAATGCATGGGCTTTCATGGCAAGCAAAAAAAGGGAAAATCAAAAAGGACAATGGAGCTTTTGCTTCTTTCTACCACCAGCAGTATGACAATGGAGGTCATGGTTGTGAAAAAGGCCACAGAATGGCTGAAAACTTAAAAATTCACCAATGCATGTTTGCTCAGCGATTCAATGAGCATGCTACAGAATATCAACGTGGGGCATATAAGAACAAGTGGCTCCATCTGGTACAGCAAGTAGCATTTAACAAAATACGTTAATTTTTATCCCAGGGAATGCAGGTGTGAAAGGCAATGAGAGAGCAGATGCCCTGGCTGTCAGTTTGACAATCAGGAATAGGCCATTTATGGACAGGAGAGACATCAACAAAGCAATACGAGAGATTAAAAGTTGTGAGGCTTTCAGGTTTGTAGAAAATGATTTTTTCGCTGAATAGACTGCATGCGCTGGGTGAACCAACTGGAGCAGGGAGACAGACAAACCATGTGGGAGCCACCCGTCATTACATCAGCCAGAACAGAATGGGAGTTGTTAGCCTAAAATATATTAGGAGATATACTCAGGTGGAGATCGAAGCACTTATGGTCATGTCCGAGGTGCAATGAAGTAAAGTTAAGATCCCTTTTCACACCTTAGGTGCTTCGGGTATGTTGGAAGATCGTTCCATATTTTTACAGACCAATCGGCACTGGATGGGTAATGTGGTCAGCATTACGCAGGCTGTCTTTACTTCCCCAGGACAGCCATCCTGGTACCCATTTTAGGCTGGGTTGACCTGCGACGCCCCATACCATGATAAAAATCCACGCAGCCAGTAGTGGGTTTCGATCGCGCAATGTTGGATTACGAGTCGGACTCACAACGCCTAAGCCACGGATGCCGCTCGAGGTGCAATGAAGATTATCTTTAAATGAACAATGTAATGCTCCACGACTAGTCTGTGTAGTAACTAGAAAAGATTAAAAAGTCAGTTTTCAGCAACTGAAGAATAGTGATTATAATGCAAGATTTCAGCAGTATTAATAGTTTATTCCAATAAATTCATGACTGAAAATTTTTTTTTTTTAAGAATGTCTTTATAAAGACACAAATGAAACTGTAGCAATATTAAAAGAGGTATTAACAGTTGCATAAAAATAAATACTTTAGCAATATAAATATGAAGTCTATAAAACAAGTCAATATGCTGTGCGAACAAATCAAATTTAGCCCTACTGGCAGTGTCATGTTATCATAGCAGCTAGATGCTTACATGCCAGCTTGGATTCGAATTAGCATTCAGATTTGTTTCCAAAACTGACCATGCCTTCTTGGTTGGCATAGCCTAAAATAGTACCAGTGAATGTCTTGGGAAGTGAAGGTGGTCAGTGTGATGATGATGAGACCACATTATCTCCCAAGTACCAACTGGTCTATAAAAATATGGGTCTGGTATTAGATGCCTGGCATGCCTTTAGGGACCATTACTTGTAAAATACTAACACAAAAATGGTTTGAACGGATAATTTAGCAACGCAGGAAAGGCAAATTCAATAAAAATAACTCTTTCAGTCAGAAGTCTGGTGGCCCTATAAAATTATTGTTATCCTTGATCAGTATTTACCACTGGAGTGGTCAGATTTCTCTAACTTGCACTGAGCAAACATAAGGAATATGAAGACTAATATCACAATGTGTAGGAAACCAAGGAAAAAGTCAATCACATGCCATCCATCATTCAGGACTGAAAGGAAAAATGAACAGTCGAAGTTCATAGAATGCAGCATATTTAACTAGCAGAGAGCTTAATGAAAGTGTTGAAATTACAATGGTAAAAGTAAGCAGTATGAGGTGACAAAATTAAGCAGCATCAGTGAAAACAATTCAGCAGTATCACTAGCAGCATCATCAGACAAAATTCAGCAGTATCACTAGCAGTATCAGCAGATAAAATTCAGCAGTATCAGTGGAAACAATTCAGCAGTATCACTAGCAGTATCAGCAGACAGAGTTCAGCAGTATCACCTGATAAAATTAAGCAGAATCACTAGCAGTATCTGTGGACAAAATTCAGCAGTTTGAATGGACATAAATTAGCATTATCAATGGACAGTTTTCAACTTCTTTGCAGGATGTTTTGCTCCATTACTGACTCATAATCGGTTACTAGTTCCTCAACTTCAAAAACTGTCATGCCAAGGTGTATTCAATGTCTCGTGTCTACGGTCTGTTGGTCAGTCCCTGCCTGGCATTCCAGAAATTATGCTTTTTATAACTGTTCTTTGGAATCCACTGTAATGTTTGCTATCAACAAAACAATTCATTTGCTGCAATATGATACTGTTTATAAGCCAGTTTCCTTCAATGCTGAAGTAGAACAGACAAGTTATAAGAAAGAACGGAGCACTTATGGGTTACTACCTGTGTGCCATGATGTTGATCTGTTGTTCAAACCTCAAACTGTTTCACAGTAGACACTTACAGCATAGGCTGGATAGGATTAGAAAGATTTCAACCATTCCTCCACTCATCATCATCATGCAGCAGGTTCTTTGCAGAACGTCGCTCTCATCACGGTCAGCCTGAAAGAAACTTTGTCTCTCGCCAGCTCTCCCACCTCATGAACTTTCATACTCAAGGAGTAGCTTAAATCCCATGCCCATCTTCGTGTCGGTTGGCCCCTGCCCCCCCTTCCTGGTACCATGCCTTCTGCTATTATGTTTTCCAATACATCCTCCACTGCCAAGGACAAATGCTACAACTACAGGACATGACTAATAAAAAACAGCTACAGCAGACATTAACTGACAGAAAAATGATTCAGTGTGAACAAACAAGGCGGCATTGTGGCATAATAGCCAATTACTGTGTGAATAATGGGTATTTTAGGATTCTTATGCCAAACAAAGATTATATGCACTTTAATTTTAATACAAAATGTTTTAACAGAATAGGTTTCCTATATATACAAATTATGCAATAATGAAGATTCATAGGCAATTAGTAATACTGACGTTTCCCATCCTTCTTTGTCATTTCTGGGAGCTGATATAGGGTAGCAGCTAGAAGCTTGACTGCAGGTGTGATAGTCGTGGGTTGAGGTCCTGATAAAGCCAGAGTTTTTTTCAAAAATGACCTTGACTCCCAGATCGACCCAACCTTAAATGGGTACCAGGTAAAGTCCTAGGAAGTTAAGGTGACCAGCTTGATGTTGACCACATCAACCACCAGTGCCAACTGGTCTATACAATATAGGTCTAGCCCTCTATGCCTGAAGGCATGGAGAAAAGAGTCTCTTATTTTGTAATTTCTACTTAGAAGCATCACTAAACATATATGGGTAACAGACCACCCAATTTAATACCACTGAAAATGGTGAAAACAAAGTGGCTGTCCATAAAAAAATGTTTGTATGCAACAACAACAAAAAAAAAAACGGGTGGGGGTGGGGTAGGGTTATATCATTAGTCTAAAATAGTCTAAAAATATGGAACTAGCATCAAATACCCTCACAGCAGCAAGCCTGGTGATTTAGTTTACACAAATTCTTCAGTACTGGATGAGTCCAGGCTCAAACAGTGCACACAAAAATCCTCAAGGAAACACCCTCAGTCGCAACACCCTCAATCATGGGAACCTACTCAGTCGTGGGAGCACCCTCAGTCATAGCAACACCTCAGTCATGGGAACATCCTCAGTCATGGTAACATCCACAGTCATAGCAACACCCTTAGTTCTGGTAACACCCTCAGTCATAGCAACACTCTCGGTCATGGTAATACCCTCAGTCACGGTAACACCCTCAGTCATAGCAACACCTAAGTCATGGTAACATTCTCAGTGAGGAAAAGACCCTTAGTCATGGTAACACCCTCAGTCACAGCAACACTCCCAGTCACCGCAAACACTTCAGTCATGGGAACACCTTTAGTCATGAGAACACCCTCAGTCCTGGCAACACACTCAGTCATAGCAACACCCTCAGTCATAGCAACAACCTCAGTTATGGTAACATCCTCAGTTATGGCAACACTGTGAGTCATGTGCACACCCTGAATCATGTGCACACATCAGTTGGCTACTTTCTTGGTAAAACCTGGCAGTGGCAGTGGTTTTGTGGGGTTCAGCAGTCCATCATGTAGTGGTGATCCAGGCAAGGGCTCCAGTCTCTGGTGGCCACTGGAGGATCCGCTGCCCATGGCTGAGCTAGCTCCAGCAGGTGGCTTTCCTGGTTTATCACCTTTCTTCCTTGGCTGCAAATAAAAAGATGTCCATGTGCATCTTATTGCAGCTTTTAGCTTTTCATATCGTTGCATTTTTTCTTTTTCTTTTCTAGACAGCAGGAGCCAGACTTTTTCAAAAATGACTTCGGCTCCCAGGTCGACCCAGCCTTGAGTGGGTACCAGGTGTGGTCTTGGGAAGTAAAGGTGGCTGGCAGGATGCTGACCATATCACCCAGTGAGTGCTGATTGGTCTATAAGATATAGGTCTACTGAAACCAATGTGACTTAGACAAAGTGGTAGATGTGATAAAGTAGCAGAGATGACAGAGATAAAGTGGTAAGAGTTATATAGACAAAGGTGATGGAGATAAAGTGGTAAAGTAACAGAGAAGACGGAGATAAAGTGGTAGAAGTGATAAAATAACAGAGATGAAGAAGATAAAGTGGTAAGAGCTATATAGACAAAGTGGTGGAGGTGATAGAGATAAAGTGATAGAAATAATAAAGTAACAGGATAAAGTATCTGACATGAGGGAGACAAAAGTGGTCAAAGTTACACAAATAAAGTGGTGGAGGTGATGGAGATAAAGTAGTAGAAGTGATAAAGTAACAGAGATAATGGAGATAAAGTGGTAAATGTGATAAAGTAACAGAGATGATGAAGATAAAGTGGTAAGAGTCAATTAGATAAAGTGGTGGAGGTGATGGAGATAAAGTAGTACAGTGACAGTGATAAACTGGCACAGGTTATCACCTGTATATCTCTTGCTATATAAAGTAATAGAAGTGATGGAGTGATAGAAGTGGTAGAAGTAATGAAAGTCTGGTAGGTGTTTCTGTGCTTCTCTTACTGGCAATTTCCTCACTGATGTTATATCAAACAACTTATCACCTCTTCTGACATCATGGTATGTTAGTGTTTCTTTGCTTCAATTACTGGCAATTTCCTGACTCATGTTACATCAAACAAACAACTTATCACCTCTTCTGACATCATGGTATGTTAGTGTTTCTTTGCTTCAATTACTGGCAATTTCCTGACTGATTTTTATAAAATGTTTTCATTTACTACTTGTGTTATGCTGTTAAAATGTGTCTGTTCATTTGTTCACACAATATGACATGTGGTACATACTATGGAGAAACTTTAATGTCAAACTTACCTTCAGGAAGGGATTTAGAATGCCCACATTTGGGTTTGCATTAAACACTTTATTAAAGTTGGTTTCCCGGTTCACTAGTTCCAGCTGGTAAAATCTCTTTTCATCCTATCAAAGAAAAAAAACAACCAAATCTTGATTTCTATTTCGCATAAACAAACTCATTTTAAAAGATGTATCCCTTTTGTCAGCTAAAATAACCTTACCATAGGATTATTTTAATGTGAGAGAAGTAGCTAGCCTTTCACATTTGGAGACACAGGCTTTGTGTGTTCGTGTGTGTGATATTGATTAACCCTGTTCAAATTATTGCAAAGGTTATACTTCGGGTGTTCCATAGGGTTTCTAACTCATTACTTGAATGTGAATTTTGATAGTATTCCGCTCTGTGTCAACTACATTGCCTGCCATCTGGTATCTAGGGGTATCTAGAGCACCTGTGCAGTGTCTACTGTTGCTACATCCTTCTACCTCTTGAGGACTTAGTCTTTAGAAAGACCACACACTTGCTTGCATCTCTTCGGTCTTTGGTTTTTTTTCTTTTTCTTCTTTTCCTTCATCTTTCATCTGAGTGACGTAAGAATTGTGCCTAAATAAAGCATAGATATGATATCCGCACCTCTCGGCTATCACATTTGACTTCTTTGGGCATTTGTTATTCAGGTTTATGTCATAAAGTAAGAACTTTGAGTAAGAGACATCTGAATCTTTGCTGCCATACAGTAGGAGTCTCGGTTGACACATGTTTGAACCAAGGTTTGTTGTAAAGCAGGACTTCTGGACAAGACTTCTTAACCGAGTTTGTCATTTAGCAGAGTATTCAAAAAGCAGACTTCACTCATAATCCATATGAGTTTTCCATGTACATTATCACCAATGCACAAGAGGTGGGCTAACAAGTACCAGAGAATTTCTGAGAACCGAATCTCCGGGGCCACCAACTCTGAGATCCCTTTTCAACTCCGTTTTGGCCAGTATAGTCAGTTATCTATAGCCTGTGATGAGGACATGTGGCAGGAATCCATAATACCAGCAGACTGCCTGGTGGTGCCTTAGGTGGGGTACGGTGTACCTCCTTATACACATAACAATACTTTTAACTTTCCCTCACACCAAAATCACTGCATCATGGTCTTTGGTTTCAAACTAGTTGATGTTTTGAGATGGTGTCTTTTTTTCTAGTTCTGCTGCATTCTCTCTCTCCTGGCTTGCTTTCCATCATGAGCATACACAGGTCATCAGCCCTAGGCAGGTGATCACTTTTGTCCTCTAATGTGAAAGTAAAGGTAGTCATGCATCAGACCCTGTCACTGGGGTATGAAGCACATGTGCTTCACATATTCTAGTAAGTAAAGTAAAAGGGATTAGAAGAATCTTGTTAGGTCAGCGGTGCATCAGGCAGATGATGCTCATATGTAATATAGAGTGATCAGCACTCTGTGGGTAATGTGGCCAACATCATACCAGCTATCATTACTCACCAGGACACTGCCTGGTGCCCATTTAAGGATGGGTCAACCTGATAAGCAAGGTCAATTCCCCCCCCCCCCCCCCCCAAAAAAAAAAAATAAAAATCGACTTGATGAAGGTTCAAACCCAAGACCTTTAGACAAGCATCCAGCCGTTGTGCTGTCACAGCTCCCATGTTTAAGGCCCCAAACAAGATTAGGTATAATGGCCAATTTACTTCTCCATTACATTTTCTGCCCAGACAAACTTTATGTTGGTCAACCAGGAAAGCAGGACAACCAGTTCATGTGGATACTGTCATCCTGTGTATGTGGATATTTTACCATGCCTGGACTTTAGTTCTGTCACTTGAATTTGTATCTAGTTAATGCATTGTTCATTCGTTGTTATATTCTAAATACTTCTAGCCACAATATCCATTTTGTCATTCATGATTACACTCTTGGGAAGCTGGCAAGTGCTACTTTCCATTTTGGTAGATCTTTAAACTTGTATTTAGCAGATTTACAGTAGTTCAACCAAATTCACATTCTCTTGACACTTAAGTTTCACTAATTACTATGCCACTGTGGTTCCTGTTCATCAAAGGTAAATAAAAACCCTAAATATGTACACTATGTCATGCAATCCACGGCAACTGGTCATAATTTTGTCTTCTTTTCTTCTTCTTCTTCGCGTTCACCAGCTGTACACTTGGCGGAAAGTTCTGGTTGCTCGTCCACTACCGCAGTCCTGCTCCAGAACCTGAGTGTTGCGTGTGCATCAGTTTTACAGACCTCATTCTCTTGAATACAGACTGTTGGTTCCTTGCCCCTCCGGCAGATGCACTCCGACTTCAAAGGAAGCTCCCCAATTAGTCGACTCTTACGACATGCTTTTGGGGAGGCAGTGGGTCTATTCTTGTTTTCCCCCCAATGGGGCCCCGGAATCCACACAGGGTGGGGGAGGGGGTGTGTCTTCTTTTAAAATACTAAAGGATTCCAGTAATGTTAAAGCAAAGAAAGATATGGCAGCGATAGCTTTATGTAAAAATAAACCATCTGCCTTTGATCACAGAATGCTCTTAATCAAATCACTCCAAGCCATTCCATCATTAGTTGGATCTAATTTCATCATCTAATTTGAGAATGGAGGTGGAGGCAGTCACTGCAGCCTTCGGCTGGCTTGAAAACCAGTTATATACACAAGTATGATTTGTGCAGAGTGGCCAGCATCACTTCAGAGGTCCTGAGTAGTTAGCCTTTGGATATTTTCTTCCTGTCAAGCTGGTGTGTTTGGAAATGAACAGGTATATAGACTGGCTGGTTCTGCACCACATAATGGTGAATAGATGCATGACAAGCTAGAAGTTATAAGGATCCTTTGGAAGTGAGTGAACGGTGCAGAGGCACAAACAAACCATCATAGTCTGAGAAGAATGAGGCAACCAGGAATGACCAGGAAGTCTGGCCGATGGTCAACACTGATACTGGTGCTATCGGAACTGGAACTCTGTGCTTGCTACCCAAGAAGGGAATGGAGGGCTTATGGGAATGTCCCAAGTGCTTCTTTTTCTCCTTCTCTTCCACCTTGTACCTTAACCAAGTGTCGGGGGGAGATGTAACATTCGTTGATGAGCTCTTTCAAGAGCAACATTAAGACTGATGTTCATTTCTGTAAGGCTGTTCTTGATGCTATCATTCCATATTTTCCTAGGTCTTTCACTCGCTCTATACCCGTTGTAACATTTTAGTGTGGCTCTCTGTGGCATATAGTACCAGGGCATTCTTGTTAGGTATCCAAACCTATTTGTTGTTCTTTAATGACTTCTAAGACAAGCTTTATACCTAGCATTTGCCTGATTTCGTGATTTTTGTATTCTGTCTTTCCATGAAAATCCTGCAGCTTTTCTAAGGTATTTCACCTCTGCTGTCACAATGTTACGTTCATTGGAAGTGTCCATGTTTGGCACTGATAGTACAGTGTTGGCCAAAAAAATAGTTCTGATAAGATTTACTTTAGAACAGATCTATTTTTTGCTACCTCCCCTACAAAAGCATACTGTATAGAAATGGCTATCAGTACCTTTACATCCAGCTGTGAAACTTGGACTTTAACATCCAAACTTGAAAGGAAATTACAAACACTGAAAATGAAACCTTTTTGAAATAACCTGGGTATGTCATACACAGACCACATCACAAATGACTCAACACACTAGTAACTAAGAACATCTTTTAAGAACAGTGGAAAGATGAAAAATGCAATAGTACAGACACATAATAAGATCTTTAAAATGATACTGAAGGGCTCTATAATGGGCAAAAGGAGAAGAGATAGACAAAGAACTGGATACAGAATTTGGCCAAAGGGACAGATATGAAACATCTAAACAACTGAGCTGGAGGCAGCTGATCAGACTGATGACACATGGCACTATACGACTATGATGATGATGATGATCATATAAGAACTCACAATAAGGTCTTTGATTCTTGTTTCTCTTTCAGAGAGCTCACATCTCAGTTTATCTATCAGCTCCAGGTCTTCACGGCGAGATTCTCTTTTGAGATAACGCTGGTGTGCTTCTTCCACTCTGAATATGAAGAAGAAAGCAAACAAAATAAATTTACAAAGAGACTATGATTTTACTTTCATTCCAAAATATCTCAGCAATATATTCCTTCCTCTTTTTCTCTGTTCTCGGTTAAAAGAAAGATTTGTATGTGGCATTGTGGTTTACAGCTAGGTCGCAATACCTGCCTCTTTCGCCTAACATTTCCAATTTCAGTAAAACTTAAAATAGTCACTTTCAATGACATGCTTGGGAGCAGGGAGAAGTGGGTCTATTATTTCTCCCAAACTGGCAGCAGAACCCACACAGGGATACAACAACCCACACAGGGATACAACAACCCACACAGGGATACAGCAACCCACACAGGGATACAGCAACCCACACAGGGATACAACAACCCACACAGGGATACAACAACCCACACAGGGATACAACAACCCACACAGGGATACAGCAACCCACACAGGGATACAACAACCCACACAGGGATACAACAACCCACACAGGGATACAACAACCCACACAGGGATACAACAACCCACACAGGGATACAGCAACCCACACAGGGATACAACAACCCACACAGGGATACAACAACCCACACAGGGATACAACAACCCCACACAGGGATACAACAACCCACACAGGGATACAACAACCCACACAGGGATACAACAACCCACACAGGGATACAACAACCCACACAGGGATACAACAACCCACACAGGGATACAACAACCCACACAGGGATACAACAACCCACACAGGGATACAACAACCCACACAGGGATACAACAACCCACACAGGGATACAACAACCCACACAGGGATACAGCAACCCACACAGGGATACAGCAACCCACACAGGGATACAACAACCCACACAGGGATACAGCAACCCACACAGGGATACAACAACCCACACAGGGATACAACAACCCACACAGGGATACAGCAACCCACACAGGGATACAACAACCCACACAGGGATACAACAACCCACACAGGGATACAACAACCCACACAGGGATACAACAACCCACACAGGGATACAACAACCCACACAGGGATACAACAACCCACACAGGGATACAACAACCCACACAGGGATACAACAACCCACACAGGGATACAACAACCCACACAGGGATACAACAACCCACACAGGGATACAGCAGCAAGTCTCAAATATGATATGTCTTAATTTAAAACATTCCATAATTTTATTTACAAAAACAAAGTCAAAGTCAAAACTAAAGTCCTAAAAAAAAAATACATCTAGGGTATGAAAACACTTGACATGTAGGGTGACCATCACTGAAATGGTTATCATTACTTCTTCCATTATATCTGTTCATTTTGTCAGACCCTATCAAAATCAATGACATCCTCTGTGGGGAATTAGAGATGGCTAGATATCCAGGCCAAATACTGCTAGGAAATAAAGATGTGTGCAAACCGGGCATGAATGAGTTAGTAAGGCGGACTCGTGGGTAAAAAATGCTGTGGGTCCTGTTATGTGTAGGGGACACATCAGGAAGGGAATTAGAAAGAAGAAAGTAGTTATTGAGGAAAGGATGAAAGCTAAGCATCTGAGAAGAAACACACTAAATACATATAATGATGACGGTCCTGAAATCCCATGTTATAATTGTGGAAGACTTTTCTTAACGCAGGTGGGTCTTGCTAGTCACACTCACCATCACCATGGGCTGAGTCCCATGCCTCCTGATAGCGTAATATAACACTATCATCTGGAAAGACAGAAAGGTGCCAATGTATCAATCAACACCAAGGTCATATTTTTCACCCCATTTTGTTTTTAATACCTTTTATCTCCCAATGGAGCATAAGAAATCCTTCAAACAAATAATCGTATGCCATTTTGTGAACACATTCAAGAATGGCTAAATTTTCAAACAAAAGTGTTATATGGGATGTAACAGCCATTGTGTTTGTCAGCTCCTTCTACATTCATGTTATATTACTGGTAATATGCACAGGCCCAAGGTTTTATTGGTTAGGAAAAATATCCTCACACCACTGTTTTGGTAGATGAGTGCTTTAACAACTACATAACCAAATATACAAATGCACAAACAAGCTTAATCAACAATCCCAGTGTTTAATAAATAAAACCAAAGCATCCAACCATGGAAATGTTCTGTTAAGTGTTACTATTTTCTGAAATTGAGAAAGTGATTAATTATTTCATTACCTTACTGTTTTCAAAATTTATTTTGAACTTTAAAAACTGAAAAGAGTTAATCATACTAATTTCTTTTTCCTCCATGAAAATCTAACATAATGTCTTTTTCAACACCATGCGAATCTCATTTAGTCTATTTTAAGGTAATGCAAATCTAATCTATTCTTTTTCAAAGCAATTAAAAAAGTTAATATATTCACTTTTAATCATCATTTTTATCATGTGCTGTGCCGGTAAGTGTAGGCTGTGATGTTTAACCATATGACACAACCACCAAAATCAGATCAGGTCACTGTTTTTGTCTCAACCCACCCATATAGCCAAGTCATCCATGAATTTATCTCTTTGCCTTCATCTGATTCTCTTTTTATCAATCTTGCTAGTCATTACCAGGAATCCGGAATCATTCCTTCTCATAACATGTCTGTAAAACACAGACTGTTTACACAGAATTTGTCCAATTAGTTTGCACATTTCTTCTGTCTCAAGGAGGACTGCCTCACATTTTTTCTATAATTTCATGATATTATTTTCATTTTTCTCACAATCCACATTTGTGCTGTCATGTTTGGAAGATCTAATCTGTTCTCTTCAAAAGCTGTGACAATTTCATTCTCTTTTAAAACCATGAAAATTTAATAACATGACTTTCTTAACACCATGAAAATCTTATTGATTCCCTTTAACTGTCATAGACATTTAATGTATATCCTTTTAATGCTACAATAATCATATCTATCCCCTTGAAAGGTATGAAAATGTAACCCTTGTAACACCATGAAAATCCAATATTATGACCAATATAATGTAATATAATGCCTTTTTTTCACAACCATAACAATCTTTGTTACTCCATTTAAAGGCCAAGAAAATAGAAACTACTTTCTTTTAAAACCATGAATATCTAATATATTCTATTTTAAAATAAAGAAAATATATTCTCAGTTTATCTGTCAACACCCTAAAAGGTAATACCTTCCTTTCTAGCCCTATAAAAATATAAATCAACCCATTTCTCTTCATTTATAAACTAGCAATAAATACTGCAATTAAAAAAAAGACCTATGTTATGATTCATGTTTTGTTTCAGAAGCTTTCACAAGGAAACTTACTCTATCTGTAGAGAAGAAATTTTATCTTTCAGCAAATCCTGGGCTGAGGTGAACTGACTCAACATAATCTGTTTCTCCCTCAAGTGATCAGCTGTCAAGTTGTCCTGTGCTGTTTGGTTCTGTCTGGTCAGTTTGTCTTCTTGTAATCTGAAGGAATAATTTAGGATTCTACCAAAGTTAAGAACTATTTCATTTGAATTGTTTTTTTCTTCTTCTGTGTTCACCTTCAGATGGTAACATAAAATTTTTTTTAAAATGCAGCAGTCAGTTTGAGACTGTTGATGTTTCTATATAGTTTGTCCTCAACAGGTAGGGAAGTAGGCCAAAATTATATTCTCTGTAAAATTAACACCCGTGAAACAGATATCAGAGAAAAGCCACCAACTTAACTGTCCAAAAACTGTGAGAAATGATACTATCAGACAGACTGTGTTAACAACACTATGCAACAAATGCACTGAGAAAAATAAGATCAAATGGTTTTGTCATCTCATTAGAATGCAGATAGAACAACTAACAGCATGGGAGCTACACATGAAAAGAACTGACGTGAAAGCAAGAGGTCGCCCTAAGAGAACTGGACTGATGACACTAAAGAGCTTCTACACTGACAAGCATAACAAGTCATTGCTACCAATCAGGCAACTGATCACAAACTGTTCCTCATCGCAACGCTTAACAGCAAATATGGAAATTGGAAATTAATGATGATGATGATGATCTATGATAGAGAGTAACAGTTATACTTATGCACCAAATGAGACAAGGTGTGGATAATTGTGAATATCCAGAAATGGAGTAAATGGTAGTAAGGATGGGCACAGTACAGAAGGATTGTTATATAAAAGGTGTAAAAATTACAATAACAAAAATAAAGAAAAAATAAATGAAGTTATTCCACAAAGATCAAGGGCCTATCAATAACTGTCAACCTAGATAAGAGGACTGTGGACAGAGAAGAGAAATATGAGCAAACATGGGAGGGACTATATGAAACAGCAAAGGATGGCATGGATTTGGATTTGCTAGAGAATTTCATGGTGTCTGCTCTCACTAGAATGCACTGGCAGAAATAAATGGCATGGGAAGATGAAATACACAGTCATACAAACTGCTTGAATTTTGGTGCATTTGCTTTCTTCCAAGTTAAGTAGAGATTAGTGACAATATAAGAGTCTGAAATAGTTACAATTAAAATAAAGAACATTGATGTGAATGAGGAAATTAAGCATCATCACACAGTCAACTTAGTACACACACTAATGTAACAATAAGTCAATAACTGCTGAATTTTCAACCAAACTCAGATGACAGAGTTCAAGAGAGATGAAGCAATAAGAGTACCATCTTGACAACCACTGGTATCAACAGTTCTATGACAAAGAAAGTGGTTCTATTTTGGACACGTCTTGAGCAGAAGTGTGCAGATAATCACAAAACATGCCATGAAATGGAAAACAAGAGAATTGGGAAAACAAGGATGTTCCAAGGAAACAAGCAAATGTTCATGAGAAGAGTCAGAGTTGATGGAGTGGATTTATTCAATGTCTAATGGAATGCATAGGAAATAATAGAACTGTGGAACAGACTGAGAGTTCTGCGTGACGTATACAGGCGTCATTGGATAACGATAATGATGCTGATAATAAGCAGACAGGGATCTTGAAAATATGGTACATATGTAACCCACAACCAGTGAATTGTTTGCTGAACTATCAATCATAACCATTTCTACTTTCTGAGAAAGATTCAGCACTGGTGGATTTGTCCTTGGTGTAATAATAATATCTGTTCTGTACCATAATAAAGGAAGTGATATCTTATTGTTTAGAATATGTGAAGGTTCTATCTTTGAAGCGTGAAGTGTTAGACCCTTACATATTCTAAATAAAAATATATTAGCCCGTGTTCTCAATGCTCTAAAGGCAGGATGAGTAGATGATTCAGGAGATAAGTGTGAATCTGCAACCTTGAGAAGACTAAAATAACTTCATGTCAAAAGAGGTGTTGTCAGACAGGAATGGTATACAGGCAGCCAAAGAAGAATTGTAAACCATCACAAAACTGGTGTTATCAAACACCACACACTAAGGGAGGTAATGAAGATGGGACCCAAGCACTCTGGACTTGTCCGCTGTGCAATGAGGATGAGCAGTAAATTAACTAACCAACTAACTATTTGAGCTGGATTAGCAAATTTCCTTCCTCACCACTTTCTTTTTTGCTTTACAGTTCTAAAAAAATTCTGATAACCGCCTGATACCCACTTTGACGAGGCTGGGTGGACTGAATGAGTCACTGAGAGCCTAAGACTTCACAAACAAAACATACAAAGCAACTAAACAAGTCCTTGCTCAACCACCCATCATCTGTTAAAGTAAGACACCAAGTGAATCAAAAACAGTGACAAAGGTAGAATAATAAGGTGGACTACTGAACTGTTCTGGCTGGATAAACTGTTGAGGATGCAGATATTTCTGAACCCTTGTTTTGAAGACAACTCTGTACAATGGTAGAATGTTCAAAATGTCTGCCTCAGACACTGTGTACCTTGTGCTTGATTCTTGACAAACCTCAGATTGGAAATAAGTCACTGCTTGTGCACTATGTGGCTATTGACTGGAAAATGTGGCAATGCAATAAAAAAAATAAATAAGGAAAGCAAACAAACAAGCAAAAACAAACAAACAACCCTTTCAGTTCCATAATGCTTGATAAGAGAGGCCTAAGAGCACAAATAACAATCATGGCATATCAATAATGTGAGAGAAGTAAAGATAAAATTTAAAATAAAGAAATTAGAAGACAGTCATATAATTCATTAAAAGATAAAATTTAAAATAAAGAAATTAGAAGACAGTCATATAATTCATTAAAGAGCAATAGATGAGATGGTTTGGCCATCAGACAAGAATGCTGTGGAATCAGCTACCACAGTAAGTCATGGTAAAGAAAAATAATGAATACCCAACAAGGGAAATAACATGCAAAAATGAAATGACAGCATCAAGAATAACCTTAAAACAATGAAGATCAACTTATGCAATGGTTTAGAAAGAGCATACAGATGTGCCTTACGTCCCCCCCCCCCCCCCCCCCCCCCCCGCCTCAACATTTCGTGGGTGTATATGAAGAAAGAGAAAAGCAGAACGAAATTTAAGATCTAGGTGCATCGATAACAATATATGGAAGATGTATCTGATAAACCAAATAATAAAACATCTCTTTTTCTTCTGTCCATTACTCTCCAATGAAGTATTCAATCATTTCATGCCAAGTTGTCCAATCCTTCATAGCTCACCTCATGTCAATCTCATCTTTTTCATCTGATTCTTTAATTCTCGTTACCATGTACTGGGTGGGGACGGGGTGTATGTTTGCTATTTCTTTTTCGATCTGTGGGTTCCAGTGCAAAAGACATTTTAAGTCTACTGTTTTCCAGTTTCCGCAGTGTATCCTATCGGATGCTCTGTTTGTTCCTCATCTCTAATCTCTTTAAATAATTGAATAGGACTAGGCAAGGCTGCATTTGTTAAAATGAAGAATAAACATCTTATGTGATAAATACTTATCAATGGAGTTTATATTTCGTGTATGTTATAGAGATTATGATTTTAACATGTCTGTGAATCCTGAACAATATGTAAGCAAGCAACTACAAAAAAAAATGTTTGGCCAATTGAAAATGAGTAATCCAGATGGTATGAAACAGATGTGTGGATAACTCAATATAAGCCTCAGAAAGAGGTGGTCACCCTTTTCTGACTCTCTTATGAGAGAAGATGAACTTAAATATTGATGACAACTGGAAAGATTTTTGGGGAGAGAGACAGAGGAAGACAATCAGTGCAGGTTTTTGACAGCCCTTTGTTATGACACAGACAGATATCATTCTTCTTCTTCTTCTCTTCCACCTTGTACCTCATCGAAGTGTCGGGGGGAGATGTAATGTTCGTTGATGAGCTCTGTCAAGAGCACTTTTTAGACTGTTGTTCATTTCTGTAAGGCTGTTCTTTATGACAGATATCATTAAATATACTAAAATACACAGCTGGAGAAACAAGGCTATCCATTTCAGCTGGCAAGGCACTTTGTGGTGATTATAATGATGACAAAAAACACAAAACAAGTAATCATAGGGAAATGTAGATTTGTTTTACAATTACAATTGTAGTCAAATATTTAAAAGAAAAAAAAAACATGATGTGATGAGTGGGATTATCAAGAAAGAACCATCACACATCATGAATTACCTGGAACTGAAAGAGTTGGGAGGCATAATCAAATGAAACCTATCCCAATGGTCTTATGAAATAATATGAAAGGTATATTAGCAGGTGTGGTCAAACCAACACAGACGTCAGGCATCATTACAGCAGTGATCAAATGGTTTCATAAGCAATGTTGATCCCTCTTTAAAGATGGTATCTGCAATCTCCCCAAGCAGTAAACAGCATGTCTGAATCATCTCATTCTGTACAGAGACTTCTATAAAAAAAAGATTCTAATAATCCCATGTGCACACTTGCATGCACTCTCACCAGAGATGTGGCTTTTGATAAGAATGTAAATAATATCATGGAATGATAGAAAAACAAACAAGGCAGACGATCTGCTTGAGACAGATGAAAACTGTAAAATTGTTTAAAGAAATTAGAGATGATAAAAGTCAGTGTTTTTCAGACATGAGAAGGAATAGACTTGAAAACTTGTAAACTGGCAGGTTGATGAAAACAGAGCAAAGTGAGGGCAAAGATAAAAACATATGGATGGCTTAACCCTAAAGAGGGAGTGAGACAAGAACACTGATCTGATCCTTGATTCTGTGTGATAGTGTGAAATGGCAAAACATGGCAGCCTTTGCTTATCAGCATTTGATGATGATGCTGATTATGCATGCTTGCTTTCTAACATTTGCTGTAATTCGTCAAGGAACATTGGGGAGTAGTCGAAGAAGAGAAGGGCAAAGAAGAACCTGAAATAACAACATCAAAAAATGAAGAGGACTAAGTTATCGTACACTTGCTCAACAAGTGGGAGACAGAGAAAGATGGCAGGTTTTCTGTGCTAGTGCTTCCATCAATTCACTACCACTACCCTAACAGGTCAAGGGTTATGTTATGTTTATGCTGTTTCACAGTTAATAAAGATTTCATACATTTGCAATTAGGCCAATGGGACATGTTTCAAATCTGGTTATGCCTTGTGGGGGAAAAAAAAAACAGAGCAGATAAATGTAAACGGTAAAAAAACAAGATTAAAAAAAAAATGAATAAAGAATCATACATCAGCTGCTGACTTGCTTGTCTTTGTGCTTGCTGTACTTCCAATGTCTTGACATCTATCTCCTTCTTCAGTCTCCTGATCTCTTCTTCCAGGTGAGCAACTTGATCTTTCAGGTTCTTAATGTGTTGCTCTCTGATGGTTATTTCCACTTTAAGCTCCTCCAGCTGCATCAGGTAATCCCTCTCCTAAATGTCAATTAGAGTTATAGTCATTAAGTATGCTGGGGAGTACTGTTACTTACTGTGCTGGGGAGTATAGTCACTTACTGTGCTGGGGAGTATTGTCATTTGCTGTGATGGGTAGTACAGTCATTTGCTACAATGGGGAGTACTGTTACTGTGCTTGGAAGTATTGTCATTTGCTCTGATGGGGTATAGTTGTTTGCTGTGATGGGGAGTACTGCAACTTACTCGCTGAGGAGTAGTGCCATTTGATGTGATGAGGAGTACTGCAACTTACTCGCTGAGGAGTAGTGCCATTTGATGTGATGAGGAGTACTGCAACTTACTCGCTGAGGAGTAGTGCCATTTGATGTGATGAGGAGTACTGCAACTTACTCGCTGAGGAGTAGTGCCATTTGATGTGATGAGGAGTACTGCAACTTACTCGCTGAGGAGTAGTGCCATTTGATGTGATGAGGAGTACTGCAACTTACTCGCTGAGGAGTAGTGCCATTTGATGTGATGAGGAGTACTGCAACTTACTCGCGATGAGGAGTAGTGCCATTTGATGTGATGAGGAGTACTGCAACTTACTCGCTGAGGAGTAGTGCCATTTGATGTGATGAGGAGTACTGCAACTTACTCGCTGAGGAGTAGTGCCATTTGATGTGATGAGGAGTACTGCAACTTACTCGCTGAGGAGTAGTGCCATTTGATGTGATGGGGAGGATATTTTGTGTTCTCTTTCTAATGAGTTGTATAAGCTGATCTTAATTTCTTTAAGGCTGTTCTTGATGCCATCAGTTCATCATCTTAAAGAAAACAATATAAGGAACCCAGAGCCAAAAAAAAAAAAAAGACCACAAGTAACTGTCTCTGTGCTTGTTGTTCTTCCAATGCTTTGGAATCTTATCTTTCTTCAGTCTCCTGATCTCTTCTTCCAGGCAAACAACTTGATATTTCAGGTTCTTAATGTGTTACTCTCTGATGGTAATTTCAATTATTTTTTCAGTGTGGTTCTCTCAGCTGCAGTGGTACCAGGACATTCTCCTCAGATGGCCAAAGTAGCTCATATGTTGGTCTTGAGTGTGTAAGATTGTGTACACATGATGTATGTATTATATTCTATGATGTATATTTTTATTCTATATCTATAACATGCATTTTAAATAACAGGCATTGGTACTCCGGAAAACGAGTGCTTAGAAGGGCCGAATGTTAGACGGGCCTGCGTGCCCAATTTGTAACCCTTTGAAAATAAAGTTTGTTCGTTCGTTCGTTCTTTACTGAAATGTATGACTGGTTTCAGTCTTAGTCTTTCTTCTAACTTCTTCATTATAAGTTTGATTTCTTCTTGTTATTCTGGCAGCTCTTCTAAGACATTGCATCTCTGTTCTGATTTAGCACCCTCTAGCTGTAGGAAGGGTTCATGTTCTTGTAAGTTTTACCTTGCCAGACAAAGGTCTCCTACATAAATTACTGACCGGGAGAGTTACCATAATTTACTGTCCTAGAGAGTTTGTATTTTACTTCATGGCCAGTTATAGTAATTTACAGTTCCAGAAAGTTACAGTAATTTACTGCCCTGGAAAGTTACAGTAACTGACTGTCCTAGAGAGTTACCATAACTGAATGTTCTGGAGAGTTATAGTAATTTACAGTCCCGGAGAGTTACAGTAATTTACTGTCCTGGAGAGTTACAGTAACTTACTGTCCCAGAGAGCTAAAGTAATTGACTGTCCTGGAGAGGTATAGTAATTTACTGTCCTCAATAGTTTTTGGATTTTACTTCATGGTGAGTTATAGTAATTTACAGTCCTACATAGTTATAGTAATTGACTGTCCTGGAGAGGTATAGTAATTGACTGTCCTGGACATTTATAGTAATTTACTGTCCTGAAGAGTTACAGTAATTTACTGCCCTAGAGAGTTATAGTAATTTACAGTCCTGGAGAGTTTTAGTAATTTAATGTCCTGGAGATTAAGGTAATTCACTGTGCTGGGGAGTTGTGGTCATTTACTGTGCTGGGGAGGTGTGGTAATTTACTGTGCAGAGGAGTCCGATAACTGCCTTCTTGATATCAGGCCTACTGCAGTCACCCCTATCATCAACACCTCTAAAGAGTCTGATATTGTAACACAGCAAGAGTAAAGGGCCCACTTCTACTGCCTAAGTAAATTAGACACCTAGTGAGTAAAGTAAAAGACTCTTTTCATCCCAGCGCTGCATCTGGTATACTATGCTAGTGTCACATTTTTATAGATCAATTGGCACTCAGTGGGTGATGTGGTCAACATCACACTGGTCCCCTTTGCTTCCAAAGACATTGCCTTGTACCAGTTTTTAGCTGGGTTGACTTGGGAGCAAGGTCAATTTTGTGAGGGGAAAAAAAATCCACCCCAATGCAGATCTGAACCATTGAACTTTTGGCAGGCAGACACTGTCATGCTGCAGCCACCATATGACAGAGAATTTTAATCCCATAGCTGTATAGATCAATCAACGCTTGCTCAATCACCTGGCCAATATCAGGCTGGTTATGTTTCTTTACCAGAATATAAACTTATCACCACTGGAGTGTCAGGTAAGTATAAATGAGAGATTAAGAGCCTCTATTTCTATCATCTGATAGGTAAGTTTGCAATGAAGTGTGATCCTAGTAACTTTCCTGCAAAAAATATTGCAAATAACGGTAGTAGTTTAAACAAACACTCTGGATTCCGAATTTGCCAAGGTGTGACACACTTCCCTCAGAAAAGAAGAAGGGAAAATGAAGAAGACAATGAAGTAAGGGTTTCTGCAGTTTTTCAGTAATTCTATTCCAGATATATAAGAATAAGGAAAAAAATGAGCAACACAGAAAATTATTAAAAGAAACAAAACACATCATCAATAGATCATCAATGTCAGTCTTTAAAAAAAATTGTTCTAGAACTACCACTTCAAATCCTTTGGGCAGTTAGTTGAAGGTTTAAGCAGACAAAACAAATGTGCCATTGAATAGACAACTAATAAGACTAAGCAGTGTCTGGTTGCAGAATGGAAACACTTTATCAAAGAAAGTCGAAGGAATAATTAACACATTAGTGCAAACACATTAAAACTACAAGCTCTGTGAAAACATTATCTTAGCACTCAGAGAAGTAAACAAATGGAAAACAATTAGCAGAACTGAAAAAACAGTTAAAAACATTACAAATATAGATTAAAAAAACAAATGAACTTTTAATGAAGGTTAAATAAACCAGATGGATACTAAATAAATGCCAAAATTGCTGCATCAAAATAGGTTTTTATCATGGTCTGTAAGGATCATATCTTCCAAAAATAGACAGAAATAAGTTATAGCATAATAATGCATTGTGTATATACAAGACAGCAGTGACTTCAAATGTGTGGGCTAATGATCTATAACTCCCATCAGACAGTAATTAAAAATAAACAACTTTTAAAATAGAACCAATAAGCAAATGCATTCATGGCACAGTTTATCTTTCTTTGTTTTTGGTTAAATAGCATTGTCACTGCAGATGACTATTTGAATTCAGTCATCTAATTTAGACAATACAAGAATTCCAGGACAGCACACAATATGTTGCAATATATGTTGATCTAAATAAATGTGAGCAAACAAGAATCATAAATGTATTCGTGTATTGGCAGTTCTTCTAGGTATTTTCTGAGCATAGAAAATTAGAGTTGATCTTGAAATCTAGAGAAAATGGAAGAAAATAGATGTTGTTGGCACCTTTCTGTCTTTCCAGGTAGTAGTATTCCATTGTTCCGGAGGGAAGCTTGGGAATCAAAGATCTGGTAATGGCAAATGTGAATAGCAAGACTGGCTCACATTAGGAAAAATTTTCCACAACAAGAGTATCAGACCTCAGGGCCACTACCGCCACCAGCCTCTTTTCACACACCCAGCTCGCAACTCATCCCAAATCCTTTTCAAGATCAATTAAGCCCTGGGATGATTTCCACCTCTCCACAGCACAAAGTCCAGTACTGTAGAATCCAGTATTGAAGAATTCAATAATTGTAGAATCCAGTATTGTAGAATCTAGTATTGCTGAATTTGGTATAGAAGAATCCAGTATTGCAGAATGCAGTATTGCAGTTTTGTAGAATGCATTAATGTAGAATCCAGTATTGTAGAAATCAGTATCGTAGAATCAAGTATTGTAGAAACCAGTATTGTAGAATTCAGTATTGTAGAAGCCAGTATTGTAGATCCAGTATTGTGGAATCCAGTATTGTAGAAACCAGTATTGTAGAATCCAGGTGCCTCCAAGCAGTATGATTCCTCCCTCCCCCCTTTCTATAAGCCTGCTCTGCTAACTCCATAGGAAGTGTAACTTCAAAATGTTTTGAACAAAGCATGCAGCAGAAGCTGCAGGATCAGAACAGCAGTGTACTGTCTGTCCATTGGTTGGAGCTTTCCGCCTAAACCAGCTGTAAACCAATTTAAGGACACGGTCAAATCTGCCATAATGTTATATTCAGGTTGCATTTCATCCTCAAAGGATAAGGCTTAGCATCCTATCAAATGCACTCCTCTGACCAAAGCTGTTAGCACAAGTGAGATGTCAGTTCAGGTCTCCTGAACGCTGCATAACATTTCACATTAAAAACAGATGTAGGGAAATTCTTTCTGGAAGTGATCGTGAAAATGAATCACAGAAAACAGACGTACAGAATATTTTTGTAGAAGTAAATGTGAAAACCAGAGAAAACAGATGTAAAGACAATCTATCTGGAAGTCAGACAGTGGTGGTGAAAATCACAGAAAATAGACATTTAGAAACATTTTTGTAATGTGATTAGGAAAATCCCAGAAAATCAATGTATAGATTATCTATTTAAAAGTGACTGTTAAAATCAAAGAAAATAGATTGTTTAGGAAATCTTTTGGAATGTTGCACAGGAAAATCTCAGACAATGAATGCATTGATTATCTATCTAGAAGTAACTTAAAATCACAGAAAACAGATGTTTATGATATGGGCATCTATCTGGAAGATGTTATAAACATTAAGGTTGTGTACTGTTTGTGTGTACCTGCTCTGACAGCTGGCTACATCAGACCTTGCACAGTGGTTATAGGTGACCTATTTATAATGTTTTAAGAGGGTAATCAGGGTATCTGGGATTCTTGGATGGCAATACAAGGGACTCTTTGAGTCACAAGTGTTTTTAAACCAACATGCAACAGCCGAGAGAAAAAATATGTATACATCAGAAATGTAAAACTACTTCTGTAAGAACTTTTTTTTTTTTACATAATGAAGCAACCTATATAGACATGAAAAAATATATACAAATAGATAATATATACAATTAATAATTAACAGGAAAATGGCTGAAATAATTGACAAATCAAAACCCAGATATTAACAGATTATTCATCAATAGCTTTACACAAAAACAAAAAAATATACTTCAAACTCTTATATTTAACTTTTTGAGTCCCAGTGGGTTTAGCATTAGAGGCCCAAGAAGTAGTCAAGAGAGAAGTCAAATCAGCGCATCTTGCGTTTATTGGGCCTCTAGGTAGGAATATATGAACATATGGTGCGTTCCTTGGGACTCAAATAGTTAAGTAATAACTAAATTTTTTTTTTCTAATGAGGTCAAACTGGTAGAAGCTATTTTTACTCAGAATACTCAATCATTGTCATTTCGCAAAGTAAACAGCGGCACAAGTTCCTTTCATAACTTTTTTGTCTGCCTCATTCTCCTTGAGTGCCTTACCACCATCCTTTAAAGCTAAACTTATCCAAAATCTCTGACACATTTTCAACTAATTATGTTTTTAAATTACTGATCTTATCACTTCCTCTCTTCTGCTCTATCATTTCTATTTCTGATCTTTCCTACTCTAAAACATTTATTCCTTACATGTGAACATCAAAGTTTCCACCTCTTTCTTAATCTTTCTGCGCTTTTATATGCCGATGTGTATTCCCTTTCCCAATTACTCCCCCCAGGTAAATGTTGCCTGCTAAAACTTTGATGCGCAGGAAATATAAGAAGACAGTAATGACAACATGAAAAGTTTACAAACCTTCTGTTTGGAAATTTCCACCGCTCTGTCCAGCTCCATCCTGGCAACTCTAATCTCATTAGAATGTGCCTGTTTCAGTGCATCAACTTCTGTTGTAAGTTTCTGTTCCAACTTGTTTCTCAAGGCTTCTGCAAGGGGAAAAGATATTAATATGTTCCAGAACAAGAGCAACCACTGATTTCATCTTCCTATATAGTTGATTGCATATCCTTTACAGGATGTTGCAGAACCAACTCCAGAATTTGTGTGTGTGTGTGGGTTGTTGTGGTATTTCTAGACAGATTTTTACTTTCAGTAGTTTGCCACTGCTTTAAGAATGGTCAGCTCTTGGTACACTGTCGAAACCAACGCAAGACAATCCGTCCACAGCTGGGATCAAGCCAGGCACCCCGGTATTATGAAGCGCGTTCACAACACCTAAGCCGCAGACGCAGACTTCCTTTACCTATTCATAAACTATTCATCTCTCGTTCTACTGCTTATGTTACAAAGAGTTGCAGAGAGGAGTTACTGTAGTCCATAAACTCTTCAGTTACATATAGTGTGTGATTTGTAATAAGCTCCTTCCTTTGAATCCTGAACATCTATAACAGGTTCTTTTACTTTATTATATTTGGTCAGAGCTTGCTAAAGAAATCTGGCTTCACCAGTGCCCACACCACTGTGTACAAAGTCTCAATGAAAATTATAAATTACAAATCGTTTATAGTGGTCGTTTTCTCTCTTCTTTTGGCATTTGATGTAGAGCTTTCTTTGATTCAAACAGTTAATTAAAGAAACTGTATTTATCTGTTGGTAAACTTATGTTTTGCTTTCTATTATTAGTTACAATGGTCTGGAATTTTTTTCTTTAATTTTTCAAAATTTCAATGTAAAAAGATTCTGGAAAGCCTATTGTTACAGCGTGGAAGGGTGGCTATGCCGTCTGCTGGAGATCACAAGGTGTGAACAGGCATGACTGCCCATGTCAGTATTCAAGGGCACTAAATGACTATGAAAGGTAAAATTACAGCAGGTTCAACACTTCAACATTTGCTGAGAGAGAGACAAAGCCCCTACTGGTTATGTTCTTATTACAATAACAGTTATTTTAGTTAACAGTTTATAGACTTTTATCGTCAATACAGTTATAGGATTGACCCAGTCTATTAAATCAGACAGCGGTTAAATTTGAATCCATAACATCAAAGAAGTTAATAAAAGTTATCTGCTGAAGTTAGAGGAAGATGCCTGAGTGAATGCAAACTAAAGACGTAAGGCCTTCTGTGTGGGTTCTGGGGCCACATTTGGGGAAAGGGGGGAGGGGGGGGGGGTTTGGGCTTTTGGAGGGGATAGATGTTCTGCCCCCAAAGGAGCATGTTTAATTAGACAACTAATAAGAGGATTTGCTGAACTCAGATGCGCTAGGCCTTAAAAGCACAGTTATTGCAACTTAGTAAACCACAACACAACTTCCCAACAGCCTTTTTAAGGGCAAATGCAAAAGAAATAGAAGAAAGAAGAGAGAAAAAGAGGAACAAAAAGCCAAAGAGGAAGAAGAGGAAGAAGAAGAAGAAAAATAAGATGAAGAAGAAGAAGTAGAAGAGGATGAAGAAGAAGAAAACGAACAGGAAAAAGATAAGGAAAATGAAGAGGAAGAAAAAAAAAGAAGATGAAGATGTAGAAGACAAAGAAGAAGACGATGAGGAAGAAGACAATGAAGAACAAGAAAAAGAAAAAGAAGAAGAAGAAGGAGAAGAAAAAGAAGAAGAAAAAGAATAAGAAAAAGAAGAAGAAGAAGAAGAGGATGAGCAGAAGACAAACAAGAAAAAGATGAAGAAAAAGAAGAAAAAGAAGATGAGGACGCAGAAGACAAAGAAGAAGACCATGACGAAGAAGACAATGAAGCAGAAGAAGAAGAAGACGAAGAAGAAGAAAAAGAAGAAGAAGAAGAAGAAGGAGGAGAAGAAGACTAAGGAAAGAGGACGCTGAAGACTCATTATGTTTTGATCTAAATCAAACGGAGAATATTTAATGTAATTTACATATTAAACATGTGAAGAAAAAGCTCACAAATACAGGAAAACACAGTCCTAACAAGAGAAGATGTACAACAAGATCTACGGATAAGAATCTGTGACATGTACATTTAGCTAGTTGCATTGCATGGTTCTCAATTACGGACAAGAGATAAATGTAGAACACAGATGAGATGCCCTTTTACTGAAAAAAAAAAAAAATCAGCTGGGTGCGGTAAATGGGAGGGGGGGTGGGGGTGGGGGGTGACAAATAAACAAATTCTGGAAAACACAATAAAGATTACACTGAAATAGTCATCACTGGCAAATGTTACCAAAGGAAGACTGTGAACATAGCATGTCGCAAAATGTCTTGTGACATTTCAGACTGCAGACGGGAGGGAACAAGGAGATGGAAGTGGTCTAAAAAAACCTGTAAAAAAATACAGTAGAAATAGAAATGAAGGAATGTAACATTACAATAGGATACCAATAGCAGAAAATCAGCAGACTGGCAGCAATGAAGATGACTTGTGAATAACTGGAATAGGATACAGATAAACAGATACAGTAAAGTGAAAGGCTCGTTTTTCATGCCTTTAGGCATAATGGGCAAAATGGGCTAGACTTAGGCTAGACTTACATTGTACAGACCAATCAGCACTAGGTGGGTGATAAGGTCAGCATCATGTTGGCCAACTTTCTTTCAGGACTTTTACCTGGTACCCTTGAAAGGAAGAAAAAAAAGGAGGAAGGAGAAGGAGAAGGAGGAGGAGGGGTGGTGGAGGAGGAAGAGGAAGAAGGAAGAAGAAGAAGAAGAAGAAGAAGAAGAAGAAGAAGAAGAAGAAGAAGTCCAGCACTATCCAGATGTGAACCCACACCCTTTGGATCAGCAGGTCAGTATCTAACTGCTACACTATGGTTGCTCCCAAACAGATTCAGACACTAAAATAAACAAAGAGTGATTGTTTTCAAGGCTTGTCACCCATCAATCAAGCAATCAGGGACTATCTATAAAATGAAAGTTTACTGTACTGGATCCAGCACTCTCTGTCTAATCTAAAGCATGAAGAAATAGAGGGAACTAGAATGCACAATACTGGGGACCAGAGGAGGAGAAAGACCAAGAAAAACTGTTATAAATCATGAACGCACCAAGCTAGACAGGCAGACGAGTACAGTCAATCAAAGAGCTATGGATCAGAATGTTTAGGACTGTAACTGTAATGGCGTCATAGAGAATGCTTCAAAAATAGAACTGGTGTCCTATGCATACAGGGGCTCACACTACTCAGTAAAACTTAGGTCAGAAGCATACTATGGTGGTGTGCAGGGTAATGAGCAGAATGATAGATTGGCCGACCATCTTTGCTTTATGCAGACTGACTGGTGATTTTCATAACCAATATCACACAGATCTTGGCTCTGTCAATAAAGCATTTCAGTAAATGTTCTGAGGTGGGAACTGGTCTACCAACATCGCAGATTCATGAACTAGTAAACTGACGTTCTCACATCGTGAAGCAGTATCCTCTGTGAGATTATATTTATCGATCTGGTCCAGTGTTTTCGAAAATTGTGTCTGTTGTTATGGGGGACAATACATTAGGAGACAATACATTCACAGAAAAACTATACTTCAGGGTAAAGTTGAAGGCTAGTAAGCAAGAGGTGGACAGTGATACACATGGAAGGTTAACATCCAGAGATGGATGAACAGTGGTCTCAGAGAGTACAACCAGGATTAGAAACAGTGTGCTGGAGAGCCAATACAGCCAACCTTCATTGTACAGACGGTGCCTGATTAAGCGATTGATGAGTTAGAGTTGAGTCAAGAATTGACATCACAGCACTCAGGGCATTCCCATGCATGCTCTGTCCTCATCTTCAGCAGCCATTGCAGAGTTCCAATACTGATGGTACCAGTCACAATCTTGTTATATGTCCGTCTTGCCTTACCTCTGAGTGTAGTGAGCCGGCCAGACCCTCTAGTTACACTCAGATGCCTCATTCTTTCCAGGCCATAATAATCTTCTATCTCTACTGATTCCGTTGCTTGTTCCCAAAGGGCCTTGACCACATCTGCCTTGTCCTGTATCATTTTACCACCTAGTGGTGCAAATCCAGCCAATCTGTCTGCTTGTTCATTACCCACCATGCCGGCATTGCCTAGAGAAAAAATCCAAAGTATGCTCACTACCCGTGGCCTTTCCAGTGAAGCTTGCCACTCTGCTGAAGCATCTCTGTCTTCACCTTTCTCATGAAAGCATGCTGTATAGATAATCAAATCACCTGGGCTTAAATTGTCGTGAACACATGACTGACGGGTGACAATATATTACTAATTTATAAAGCAATTACTTTAACTGCATACTATTTCATCACATGAGCAACATCTCTTTGCTGCTTTCTTCTGAAAGAAGACAAGTAATGGTAAATGTGTAAAACAAAGGTGTACCTGTCTCATTCTGGTGCTTAGATCTCAGCTCATCCAGTGCCTCTTGCTTGTTCCTCTGTTCCAGCTTGATGGTATTCTCAAGGACTGCCTTATGTGCTGTCATCTGGCTCTGAAGCTCTTCCATGTGTCGTTGCTTCAACTTGCTTTCCAGATCCTGACAAATGTATGAAATCACTGGCTATATCACTCACCCAATTAGCCTCCTTGCATGGAAGAAACAGACCATTACATTAAGACTGTGTACTGGACAATCATATAATCATGGATAGTCATATAAACAAGAAATTCAAGATTGGGAGTTCAAACCTTTGCCCATGTGGAAAAGACACCACAGAATATAGAACAGGTGCTAAAGGCATGCTCTCTTCCTACTGTAGAGCAGGGCTATTCAACTGGCAGCTCGCGGGCCAAATCTGGCCTGCAGAGGCCTAGAAAGGGGCCCATGGATCACTTTCCAATTGTTTAGTATTCAAGATTTTTCTTCTTCTTCAAGGTCGACCCAGCCTAAAACTGGTACCAGGTAACATCATGGGAAGTAGAGCGACTGTTGTGATGTTGACTATATCACCCATTTAATGCTGATTAGTGTGTAATAGTATAGGTTTGGATCTACATGCTCAATCCACCCGCGTTCTGTATTTTTACTTAATTTTACTTGTTAGCTTGAATAATGTGCAACCATAAAAGGGTATTTCTGAATATGAAAACACAGACACTTCTACAAACTGAACAGAAAATCTAAGCAACTGTTTCTCCTTCTCTCTGCTCTTATATTCCTTATTCTTCTTCGTCTTATTAATGAACAATTCATTTATTATCAGCAAATGTTCATTTCTTCGTCTCTTTCTAGATTCTGGCTGTGTTGTTGTTTACAGTCATGTTACAATATCTGCACATTTCCGCTCGTCACAGCTGATTTAACTCTCTGAGTCCCAAGGAATGCATCATACGTTCCCATCTGGATGCCCAATGAACACATATTGTGCCAATTTTATGTCTCTCTTGACTTCCCCTTAGGTATGTGATGCTTAACCCCTCGAGACTCAAAGAGTTAAGGAAACTCCTAATATTTAGTTGCCTTCGACTATATGCTTCTTAGGGTAGAGGGACTCTTTTAATCCCCCCCCCCCCCCTCAACCGCTACCACCACCATCAACAGACCCCAGAACTCATATAGATGAAACATTCACATTCATTTTAATAGTCAGACCTACAGCTAACTTGTTTGAGAACCACTGGTCCAAGCTGACACTGGCTACTTGTAAACTGATTTTTATCTCTGGACCGGTTGGAGACACGAATATGAGAGAAGGCACTTCACTTCTCCTGAACCATTAACAATTATTCATGCCCACTGTTGCCGCTCCAAGTAACACAAAAACTGACCACTAGCCGGGTCACAGGAGAAAAGAATCTCAGATGACCACTATTCTAGAGCTCTCAATTACTCACTAGTAGATTATTTTTAGTGACACACAGAAGCAGGCTGGCCTGGCTACAAATTAGGCAAAGTGAAGGGTCTACTTCATGAAAGCACTTGAGGGAGGGGGAGATTCATGGACAGAGTGGTGAATGAAAGAATGGGAGATGGAGAGAGGAGGAGGAGAAAGAGACAGAAATCAAATTATAGAAATAGAGATCAAGAAAGAAACAGACATAGAATAAAATTTAATGAAAGCACTTGAGGGAGCAGAAGATTCATGGATAGAATGGTGGATGAAAGAATGGGAGATGGAGAGAGGAATAAGAGAAAGAGACAAAAATTGAATTACAGAAACAGGGATACAGAAAGAAACAGATACATATATCAGAGAAGAAGGATACATAAAGAAACAGAGACAGAATTGAATAAAACGTCATGGAAGAACATTAGGTAGCAAAGGATTCATGGATAGAATGGTGGGTGAAACAAAGGGAGATGAAGGCATGAAGAGAGATACAGAAAGATACAGAGACAGAATTAGAGAAATAGAATGAACAAACAAACAAACAAACTTTATTTCCAAAAGGTTACAAATTGGCATGCAGGCCCATCTTACATTTGGCCCTTCCAAGCACTCATCTTTCAAGACTGAATAGATTAATCTTTCAACTTGGAATTACAGTCAAGACAAACGTGAACCTTTTAACTTTAAATCAATAACAAACATAAAAGAATTTTTAAGTACGAATTACAATCAAAATCTAAATAATGGTGAAGCTGACTGTGTTAATAAAATGAATAATAATATCAGCTAAAATAACATAAAAATTTAACGAACAGAAACATGATAGACATTTTACAGCTTACATATGTCTCCCGTTCTGACTGAGCTCTCAGGAATTCCTTCTCATCCATGTGCTTCTTTTCCATGGCCATCATCTTACTGGAATACTCATTTGCAGCCTCCAGCAGGTCTTTGCTTAAACGGGATCTCTCCCTTTCTAGCTCATATTTCAGCCTGGCTTTGTCTACATCACCTTCTAATTTAACAGAGTCTAGACTGGACTGTAGCTCTTCAATCTAGGCATGAAAGAAGATTAACTTTCTTTATGCAATATATATAAGAGTTTTTATATCTATATTTTTTATCTGGTATCAAATAATGGACTTTTTTTTTAAAAATCACACCAAAGAAGAGTAAGAAGACTTTGATTACACAAAAATCCTCTCTAGAATATCCCTCTTATCAAAACCCGCCAGAAATATTCCCAACAGTCTGCTAGTTTCCTGCTTCTTGCATTTCATACCCAGTGTGTCTTTAACTTCACCTTCACAATATCGTCAAAAAGTATATTAAACGGCTCTGTTTCCTTCAGTAGGTTTTTAAAGGTTTAGTTTTGACAGAATAAACTTAATTGTGCCAGGTTCTGCCCCATACAGCTTAGCATCTCTCAGCTGCCTGTCGAGAGTGTCATACAAAGAAAGAACTCCATAATTTCAGTAACAGAAAACCACTGCATTCATAAACTACAAAAAGTAGTTAACAAAATGAGCCATTCCACTGATGATATTCCTACTTGCCACTGTCTTAAGCCATCCACCATCAATTCTCTACGTCTGCCTCTGTCTCTTCTACCAGTCATCACAATATTTTCCAATGCTCCTTTTCTCATCACATGACCAAATAACTTTGTCTCCTTCTCATTGTTGTATATAATGTTCTACTTTCATTAGCCATTTCCAGGTGATCACCATAGTTATTCTGGCAGTCCAAGGTATTCACAACATTCTTTTCAAGGACCACATCTCAGCCGCCTCCAAACTCTTCTTAATTTGTTTGCTCACATTCCAAGATTCACTGCAATACAAGAGAACAGGCTCGATGTAACATTTCAGTACTCATTCTCTGATGTTTAATGAGAGGGATTTATTATATAAGATACTTTTCATCTTCTGAAATGATGCCACTGCCTGGCCACATCTGCTCTTAATTTCTGTCACAAGTTGTCCATCTGATGTTGTGAATTTCCCCAAATACTTGAATTTATTGACTTAGTAAAGCATTTTCCCTTCTACTGCTATGTCACATTTTGGAGTTATCTTCTTTTTTGATATAACCTCTGTTTCTGTTTTCTTGACATTCAAGGAAAGTCCCTTTTTTGCCCCAGTTGTTGTAGGTCTTCTGCATTTTCAGTTATTAAAACTGTATCATCTGCATAAAAGTAAAGTAAAGTAAAGATCCCTTTACACGCCCTAGGCGCAATGGGCATATGGGAAGAGCACCCATATTTTTACAGACCAATCGGCACTCGGTGGGTAATGTGGTCAGCATTACGCCGGCTGTCTTTACTTTCCCAGGACAGCCCATTCTGGTACCCATTTGAGGCTGGGTCGACCTGCGACTTCCCATACCACGATAAAAATCCACGTAGCCCACGCAGGTTTCGATCGCGGTATGTTGGATTACGAGTCAGACTCGCAACGCCTTAGTCACGGATGCCGCCATCTGCATAATATTTATATTATAACCTCCAACTGGTATTCCTGGTCTATTCTTGACCTCCCTCTTTGTTATTTAAGAGAGAGAAGAGATCCTGTGACAAAACACATCCTTGTCTCACTCCCTGCTTTATCTGTTCATAACTACCTACTTTATTTCCCAATTTCATTGCTGCTTCTTGCTTCCAGTAAATAGTTTTTACAATTCTTAGATCTTTTCCATCAACAATTTTACCATGTCATTATGTTTTACTTTATCAAAAGCCTTGGTGTAATCTATGAAGCACAAATATATGTCTTTCTTTTTCTTCCTTGTTCTCTACTAATGTTTACAATGTGTATATTGTACTATATTTACCTTTACAAAAGCATTATAATTTACCAGACATATTTCTAAAGACCAATATGAACTTGGTTGGATAATGTGGTCAACATCAAGACAGCTACCTTTATTTCTGTGAACATTAACTGGTGCCTACTTTAGGCTGGGTTGGCATGGGAGCTAAGGTCAATTTTGAATCTTTGTCAATGATGGTTTTTTTCTTCTACTGTATATTTACTGGCAGAAAGTTCTGGTTGTTTGTCCACCTTCGGACTTGAGTCATGTTCCAGAACCTAAGTGTTGTATGCACATTCATTTTAAAGATCTGAATTATTTGTATGCAGACTGTTAGTTCCTTACTTCTCAGGCAAATGCACTCCGACTCTCAAGGATGTCCCCAATTGGTCAACTTTTATGATATGCTTGTTGGGGAGACAGTGGGTCTTTTCTTGTTTTTCTGAACAATGGCACCCTGGAACCACCACAGGAATAATGATGATTTAAACTCAAGACTTCTGATCCATCAGACAAGCATCCAGCAACAAAACTACTATGACTTCTAATTTCGGCAAGGTCTTGCCTTCTCTGTTTCCATCTGTATCTCTTAACAATTTCAGATTTTTTAAAAACAAAAATGACATCACAGTAATAAAAGCTTGGCTAAAATTTGGGTGTTCCCACACAACTGGAGCCAATATACACATGCATGACAATCATTCATTATAAAAACTGAATCCACAATGGTTTCTTAATGGCAGACCAACCTGGCTCTTGAGACACTCCAGCTGAGCCTCATGCTGGGCTCGGGTTGCAGCTATCTCTTCATCTTTCTGGCGCGACAACTGGAGGAGGGCTGTTCTTTTCTCACTTTCACTCTGATCAATCAGTTCCTGCTTTAACTTGCTACATTCTGACCTGCCCATGGTAATGAAAGAGAAAGTGACAGTGTTTTGACAAAACAAAGTGTTACCGTTTTCACAAAAAAGTGACTGTGTAGAAAATGGTGACTGCAAATAAATAAATCTGCCTGCCATAATAACCATTTTGGCTTGATTTCATGCTGAAGATTAAAGTCAAGAGAATCTGCTTTACTGCACTAGCTTTTATCCTATATGGCTTGCTCTCTCTTTCTCTCTCTCTGCAGAATGGATAGCCGCCTGTTAAGAGTGTTGCATAAAGGACAAACACTGTAGCTCTGGCGAAATGAACCCATGAATTTCAGTGTGCAAGGCAAATGGTTTTTTTTTTATGTGTGGCCCTGTGGTTTAAAGTTAGTCAAATCATTTCATGATCAAATTCTTGACAAACAAGGGTTCAATTCCCTTCTCATTAAAATGTTTGATTCTGGTGAAAGACATCTTTAAAATTATACAAACAAAAACCCTTCTTGCGGCTTTCAAATACCCCCCCCCCCCCCCTTCCCCCACCCCACCTACACCACAAAAGTGGTAAAATAAAGGCAGTAATTGGCAGTTTTTCAGCGTCCACCATTCCAGAGATTTAAAACCAAACACTCTTTCAAACATTAAGGTAGTTACTGTCTGTATTTACACTTTTTGAGGGCTGTGTAGGACAGGGGAGGATTAGGGTCGCATAGAGACTGCTGTCACCACACAAACTGTGCCCGTTATATAAAAAAAAAAGGTCCATAACCTTACCAAGAATGATCAAAACTAGTCTCCTAGATGACTGTTTAGTGTTGTATTCACTTGGCCAGCTACTCATATGGAAAATTATGCAAAACGTGTGCATGAGGTCTTCTCCATTTTTGCCTTTATCTGACTAAATACCTGGGGATTATGGTAGGGGTAAGGAAGATCATACCCTCTTCTACCCATGTACAGACATCTACACAGTTCCCCTTCTAAATCAAATCAAGTCTATACACGTCAAAGGTGAAGACATCAAGTCATCTGAGCTACTAAGCCAGTCTTCCTCCTCTAGCAGCACAGTTCTCTGTAAGTTTGGACATTTTGGATGATTGTATATGAAGACTTTCAGTATAGATGGTCAAGTTGTTCAAATGACTAGCTCTTAGACACAAGAGTATCACAATTTAATTAAAACACCAGAAGGGAAAGACGTAATGCTCATGGGAAAGTTGAACGTGGAAGAGGGAGACCAAGCAAGAAGGTGACAGACAATATGCCTGGTTGGTAGCTTTCTAATTCAGATATTTTGCCTGGGCAGGAGCCTATTCTCAATCTCCTCCCAGGTAATGCTTAACACAACAGTTGTTTGTTTACTTCCTAATTTCACAAACAAGCTGAGCTTAAAAACAATAAAGACTCAGGTTGAAGAAGTTCAACAGAGTCAAGAAGAGAGAGAATTCATTACTGTAATAGCTTAGACATCATCGTCAGGTGTCTTGCCGACTGGCGTGGGTGATCATACCTCTCCACAATCTGCGATCTGCAGCATGTATCAGTTCGTGTGCCGACACATCTCCATGCCATGCAACACAACTGTCAAGAATCTTCTCTCGTCTTCCTCTACCCCTCCTTCCACAGATCTTTCCAGTGGTCACAACATGTTATATTTTTCCTCTTCTCATAACATGGCCGAAAAATGATGACTGTCTCCTTTCGATGTCTGTGATAAGTTTCTTCGAGCTCCCGCCTCTTTTAAAACCTCTTGGTTGTTCTTTTTGGCTGTCCAAGGTATTCTAAGCATTCTCCCGTAAAACCACATCTCTGAGGCCTCAAGAAATTATTTGGCCTGCCTACCGATTGTCCAGGATTCACAGCCATATGTTAAAACTGGATGTTGCAAGCGAAAATTCTTTTTCTAACTCTCAATGACAAGGATATATTGCACAAGATGTTCATTTTATAAAATTCAGTTTTTGTCTGTCCTATTCTGTTTCTTATCTCAGTTATGCATCTTCCATCTGATGTTATCCATGTGCCCAGATACTTAAATTTCTATACTTGTCCCAAAATAACACTATCGATTTTTATTACACATTTAGGAAGAATTTGTTTCTTTGATACCACCATTGCTTCTGTCTTCTCATTATTCAAACTGAGACCCATTCTTCCACTTTATAACACCACAATATTTATCATTTCTTTTTGACTTGTTGCTATCAAGACTATCATCAGCACAACGTAAAATGTTTATATTGTGCCCACCAACCACAATAGCTTAGACATAAAGAGGTAATATAATATATATATGTGTGATAGAAGGCAGCAAGCACATTCAATTATCTGTGGAAACAATAATAAACATATGGTGAATTGTTTGGTACTAAAAGAGTTACTGTGCAAAATATGCACTAAGAGTCCCAAATTTTGCCATTATCTGAGAAACTAGATGTGTGATACACTACCAGTGTTCCATCCTGGTTTTCTGGAAAGGTCTAAACAATCAACAGTGTCGGATGAGTCTGGTCTGCTAGAGCCACAGATGGACACACTAACATGTCATGTACTCTGTCTCATAAACATGTATCTGTGCTGTCTACCAATGCTAGAGCCACAGATGGACACACTAACATGTCATGTACTCTGTCTCATAAACATGTATCTGTGCTGTCTACCAATGCTAGAGCCACAGATGGACACACTAACATGTCATGTACTCTGTCTCATAAACATGTATCTGTGCTGTCTACCAATGCTAGAGCCACAGATGGACACACTAACATGTCATGTACTCTGTCTCATAAACATGTATCTGTGCTGTCTACCAATGCTAGAGCCACAGATGGACACACTAACATGTCATGTACTCTGTCTCATAAACATGTATCTGTGCTGTCTACCAATGAACATTTTACATGACATTTAAGTGGTAAGTGTCTCTGTTTTAAAATACCAGTGGCACTCTACTTTGTTTTACCCGTATAAGTCCATGCCTAGTGGCGCTGGTATTACTTTGTCTAGTAGATTATAAATGATAAAGGTGATTTAGGTGATTTTCCATGCAATAATGCGAAATGACATCTATTTATTATTATCTGCCTTTATCCCTCTCCCCCCTCCTCACCCTTTTTACCCCCAACCCTTTCCTCATTTGATTGCAGGGTGTAACTGGAAGCGATGTGAGATGGTGCGTTATCTGGAAGTATTAAAATATTTTGCACCATGTAGAATATCACCTTCGGCACATTCCGATTCTCTTCTTGATTTCACTTACATCTTCTTTTTCTTTAGCATTCGGAGCCCATGAGGTTCTTTGCTGCAGATATCACTCGCCTCTATTCATCTCTCTGGTTGGCCCTCTCTTTCCATTGCAGGTCTGTGTGGATTTTATCTCTCCATCCTCTTCTTGTTCGGCCTTGTGATCTACGACCATTCATCTTTCTGGTGTATAGAGTTGTTACTTCTCTGTCATCTGACATTCTTTCAATATTCCCAAACCATTTAAATCTATTAGCTCTCATGATGCCAGTGATCAGTGGTGATTTAAGGAGATTATGAATTTCGTTGCTGCTTCTCACTCTCCATTTACCGCTGTTTGCATCTTTGATGGGTCCAAAGATTTGTCCTAAGACTCTGTTTTCGAAAACTTGTAATAAGGCTTCATCTCTTTAAGTTGTGCTCCAAGTTTCAGAGCCATATAACATGATTGGTCTAATCTATGTTTTATATATTTTGATCTTGGTGTTGTGAGACAGACACTTTGACTTTAGAAGATGTTGAAAGGCATAGTCTACTTTATTTCCAGATTGTATTCTAGATTGTATTACTTCTCTCAGCATGTTGGAGCAGTTGAAGTTTGCACTCTAGTACTTATATGTTTCTGTTCATTTTATTTTCATATTATCGACTTGTATGTGGCCGAAGTTTATATCCTTTCCCTGTCTATTTATTATCATGTATTCTGTCTTATCTTGATTGATAACTGGTCCCATTTTCTGAGCTGATTCTTTTAAGGCAGTCAGTGTTTTAACAGTCTCTAGTTCATTTTCTTTAACGATATCAATGTCATTAGCATATCCAAGTACTCTTGTAGTTTCTCCGATAGTACACTCTTGTTTCAATTTTCTTATAATTTTCTCCAGGGTCAAGTTAAAAAGAAGTGGGAACAAAGCATCACCTTGCTTTAAACTAGATGTTTTTTGAAAAAGGTCTGACTTCCTGCCTTTATGTATTACTATATAATGAGTGTCTTCCATACTATTAAACTTTTTTTGGTATTCCAAAGTCCTTCATAGCATTCCATAAACTGTTTCTATGAACACTATCATAAGCCTTTTAAAAATCCAAATAAACATTATGTACATCTTTTCTATATTCCCAATTTAGCTCTGCTTTTTTGCCATAAAATGAATATCTGATCTATTATTGATCTGTTCTGTCAGAAACCCGCTTGATAATCTACCAATATGTCTTCGACTTATGGTTTTAGCTGGTTTAGCAGTACTACTGATTGTATCTTATAGCTTGTAGACAACAGTGATATTCTTCTATAATTTTCACACTTATACTTGTCTCCTTTCTTAAAAATGGGCATAAATAAAGACACTTTCCATTCATGGGGTAATTTCTCCGTCTTTTCTCCATCTTAGTTTTATTAATTCATATATCCTTACATGTAATGCATGAGCACCTTCTTTGAAAAGTTCAGCTGCAATTCCATCAGCACCAGTTTCTTTATTATTATTTTAAGCCATGGTATGACATACAGTGACAGGTGTAAGACAGGGATGTGTTATGTCATCTCTCCTCCTCAACCGTGTGATTGACTCGATACTAAAGAACACAGTAGACAGGACATTAAGAGGCATACGATGGACTCCATTCACCATGCTTGAGAACCTTGATTTTGCAGGTGATATAGCACTCCTATCACACAAACATGAACAGATACAAGAAAAAAGTAACAGACTACACAGCACAGCAGAAATGGTGAGACTGAGAATAAATACAAAGAAAACTAAGATCATGACAAGCAGTCCAAACCAACAACCAGTGACCATAAATAACCAAACTCTTGAAAATGTAGAACATTTCACATATCTTGGCAGTGTGGTGTCCCTGTCGGGAGGGACCGAAGAGGACATACAGTCAGGTCTGAACAAAGCTAGAGCTGCTTTTAGAAGGATGAGGCAAATCTGGAAATCCAACAATTACTGCAGAGGAACAAAACTCTGACTCTACAAGAGCATCATTTTGTCAGTTCTTCTTTGTGGAGCGGAATGCTGGAGAATGACCAAAAAGGATGCACACAAGCTGTCCACCTTCCACCCCACATGTCTACGTAGAATTATCAAAATTTTCTGGCCAGATACAATCTCAAACACTAAACTACCTCAAGTCACAAACCAAGAAACTTTAGACAATATGATAACCAGGAGAAGATAGAAATGGCTTGGGCAGGTTATGAGAATGAATCCTGATGTACCTGCCAAAACAGCTCTTACATGGATACCAGAGGGAAAGAGAAAACAGGGACGCCCAAAAACAACATGGAGACGAACGATGGAAAGTGACCTGAGTGCGGCATCTTTGACATGGAAAACTGCACTGAAGATTGCACAGGACAGGAAAGCATGGAAAGTCCTCTCTGAAGCCTCATGTGCCACTAGGCACAACAAGAACTGATGACACACAGTAATTCTTCAAAATCAGGCTCTTCAATATTTTCACATGTTAATCTCTCTTCCTGTGGATAAGTATTAAGTGGGGTTTAACAGTTTAACAATTCAGCAAAGTGTTCCTTCCAACTGTTACATATTTCCTCATTATTATTTATCATGTTTCCATTGTGATCTTTTAAACTATTAATGCTTTGTTTATGTCCTCGTTTTACAGTCTTCAGTTCTTTAAAAAACTTTGTGGATTCGTTGTTCCATATCACATCACGTAAATCTTCCGTCTATTACTTCAACTATATACTAAACAAAGCTTTCTCTTCTGTAGTGTGTACTTCAAACGTGAAATAAGTGAGGAGAAAACGCCCCAATTCACATAGGCAATCTTTAGATTTAGATTCTCCTTTGCCTAATCACCAGTATTGTTATTTCAATTGGCCTTTCTCACACGCCCTGTGCATAGGCGCAATTTCGCACGTGATCAAAGCCATCGTAGACGCTGTATGTGGCAATGGGTGAACACAAAATCAGAAGTCTGGCGCCAGCTTCCTAAGTGGTTGTAGGAAACGTGCTGCCCCATTTCGCTAGATCCATTGTTGTTGTGCGGCTTTTGGGCTTAGACGTTATGGAAATCCCTTCAGGATTAAACCCTCGACGACGTAGCAGGATTTTTATGATTTCCCAGGTGGGTGGTTTTGACAGTGGTACAAGAGTAGCACCGAGGAAGGGTTTGGGAACTCACCACGTAATATTCCCAACGGCAGCGACAGATGGATTCCAGGCCAACTCTATATGGAGCTAGACCAAATATATAAAAGAAAATCGATTGTGGTTACTACTAGTTGGTACAGTGGAACAGCCAACCTTACGAATCGAATCCAAGAAAAAGTCGGCCACTGTCGTCTGAGCAGTTAAATACCAGCCGACAGCTAGGAAGAAGACGAGCGAGACCTGTGATTACTATAAGGTCGTCTAGAAAATCTACGCATAAATTGCATGACCTGGACTAAAGCAACCCAGACACTGGTCATCATCATTATATGTCCTTTCATGCCTCAATTAAAACATATAGATTACATACATTCTTCATCGACCTATACGGAATGCTGCTTTGTTTTAGATATTCTTCCGCTGAATTCTATAATTCAGCATCCATCTGTTGCTATCATCTTACTTTTCTTCGGCCTTTCAAGTCCTTGAGGTTCTTTACTGCAGATATCACCAGGATCGATTTATCTCTGTGACTGGTCTTCTCTTTGCAAGTGTTTGTAAGTCCACCTGCATATTATCTCCCTGCCGTCTTCTTGGTCTGCCTTTTGGTTTACTTTCAGTCAGCTTTTTCTGAGTGCACGTTTTTTTTATTTTTCTGTCACCTACGATAATTTCTGTATACCTCAACACCACTGTAGCATAAAGCCCTCATTAGGACAGGAATTATTGGCGATTTAAATATATTATGTATTCTCATGTTCTTCTTTCTTCATCGGCTGTAAGCTCCGTCGGAACGCCCTGTTTGTTCGTTGATTTCAACTTTGGCTTTGTGCCAGGGCCTGAGTTTTGCATGTACATCCTCCATTTTATTGGCTTGTTTGTGTGCAGTTTGATGTTCCTTGCCGAACGGGCAGATGCACTCCGACTTAACTGACTGACTGACTTTCTACCCCACCAGGACATCACACAAGCGATAAACACCAGATGACACAATGTGTCACCATGTGGGTGAGGATCACCGTGGAGAGGTCACAGAAACCGCGTTTAGCCTTTAGGCCATATTTATGGCTAGGCTATATTGCGGTCCCTGGAAAGAGCCAGCGTAGGGCTTCAAATAACGAAAAATTTCGTCCTTATAAGGAGGGGAAATTATCTCACTCTGACTTCAAAGGAAGTCCCCATTTAGTCTTCTCCTACGACTTATTGAAGAGGCAGTGGGTCTATTCTTGTCGCCCCCTCCCCCTTTTTTCCCCACACGGGGAATGTAATATGATGTTATCAATGTATCAAAATATAAATAAGTTATCGGTCTGCTTCATTAGTGTCCACTTCAATAAAGCGAGATGTAAAAACATAGGTGTTCTTTGCAGAGAGACTAACGGTGTGCTGCAATTGTGAAGACAATGCCTATACAGATTAGGTTGACCTAGTCTGTGTGTCTAAAGTGGTCACCCTCCGCCTATCACAGCTAAAATAAGGACCAGTTCTAAAACCTTTTCAGATGCTCATCACCTGCATGCATCACATGCCTGCCACGGCTTCGAGTAATCCTGATCGGATAGGGGCAGGATGGTCTGGCGGGTACTCTACCCCTGCCCTCGAGATTTCCCAAGTGCTAGTGGAGAGGTTGATTTTAATTTACCTCGCTACCCGATGATGTCAGGTAAGCGGCCATTATCGCCCCATCTTATCTACCGCTAGTGTCGGTCACAAGAGTGGATGAGAAAAGAGAAGGTTGGTAAATGAAAGCAGGAATTGCTTGAATTCATCACACGCAATATTCATGGAATCCCTCGGTGATATGTGTTCGAATGCGTTCAAATTTCTGTCCAAGTAGACAGACAGACAAACAGACAGACAGACAGAGACAGACAGACAAACAGAGACAGACAGAGACAGACAGACAGACAGACAGACAGACAGACAGACAGACAGACAGACAGACAGACAGACAGACAGACAGACAGACAGACAGACAGACAGACAGACAGACAGACAGACAGACAGACAGACAGACAGACAGACAGACAGACAGACAGACAGACAGACAGACAGACAGACAGACAGACAGACAGACAGACAGACAGACAGACAGACAGACAGATAGATAGATAGATAGATAGATAGATAGATAGATAGATAGATAGATAGATAGATAGATAGATAGATAGATAGATAGATAGATAGATAGATAGATAGATAGATAGATAGATAGATAGATAGATAGATAGATAGATAGATAGATAGATAGATAGATAGATAGATAGAACAATAAACAGAGACAGACAGGTAGCTATCTAGTCAACCAGCCAGCCAAACAGACTTAACACATACAACAATCTAAATGAACACATGAATGCGCCTGTGTGTGTACGCTCCGAGCAGAAAGATTGTAGACGACATCGACGTTAAAAAAATAACGATAAGTAAAAGAACAATATCTCTGGCGAGCATTCTCCACTTACTTCATTGTCTCCGTCCATTTGTGAGCGAGTTCTCGCGAAACTGTCTCCCTGCATTCGTTCATCGTCTGGTTCAGCCGATCCACGTCGGCATCATGAAGAAGGTTCAGCCTATCTACTTCCGCCTGCAGATACAACAGATGAACATTCATCCCTTTAGTTTTCAACTACAAACATTTATGAACTGGTGCCTATGGAAGTTATAAAAGGAAACAAACAGTATGACAGAATCACTAAAACACGGCTTAAAGGGAGAACCAAAACAAACCCTACAGAGAAAAAAAAAAAAAACCGTTGCAGCAGACAGAAACATAAAAGTAAACATGTAAAAAGTAATGGGAGGGGGGGGGTTAAAACGTCTTTATACGTAAATCGTGCATAGGGGCATATGATGTTATATTTGTAGGGACCAATCAGACTCGTTGGATGATGTGATCAACATTACGTAGCAAATAAATCTGATATAAGTATAAAAAGAATGTTCTTTCACGGGAACCCACAGGACAAAGGAGAGAGGGGGTATTAAAAACAAGGAAGATACAGCGGTGGTGTATGTGAGAAATAAAGGATTGATTTGATTTGATCTGATTCAAGAACCGATATCACAGCACTCGGGGCATTCCCATAAGCGCTCCGTCCCCATCTTCAGCAGCCAGCGAAGAGTTCCGATACCAATGGTGCCAGTAGCATTCTGATTAAACGTCCGTCTTGCCTTTCCTCTGAGCCTCGAGCATCTGCCAGAACCTCTCGTCCCTCCCAACTGCGTCAGTCTCACCACACTGTGGTGATCAATCTGCTCCTCAGCACTGTACATGCTCTCCCACAAGGCACTAACCACGTCTGCCTTATCATGCATCAGTATTCCACCAAGCTGTGCAGAGCCAGCCAGTCTGTCCGCCTGTTCATTTCCCAAAACACCGGCATTGCCTGGTGAAAAAATCAAGACAATACTCCTCACCCGTGTCTTCCGTAGCGAGGCATGCCACTCTGCACGAAGCAAGCCTGTCCTGATCTTCCTCAGCATGCTTTCTGAGTCAGTTACAATCACGATATGTGTGTGTGTATCAAATGTCGACCATTATTAACTTTTGCTAAGAAACCCCAAGCACTTCTTTTGCCTCTTGACAGTGAACCGTCTGTGTAAATGATCAAATCTTCTGAGCGATCATTATCTGGAATTAATTGCTGAATTTCCACCACTGTGGCACCTGCTGGCCAGTCTCTGCATTCCAGGCTCAGTGTAATTACGACCCTACACAAGTCTGACTGTTCAGGTGGCACTTTGACCCACTCCTCTCCTCGCCTAATGTTCTCAAGGATGCAAACCTGTCTGATTCTATCTTCTGTCTGAGCCATCCATGACTTTCCTCTTATCAGCCGCAGACCCTTAACTGCACCCAGATCTTTGTGCAAATGGTGGTCTGTGTCTGCAGCTACCCTGAGATTTGACTTCGCCTGCAGCACCTTGTGCCTACCTGCAACAGTGGACAAACCGAGGATGTATCGCATACACACCACTGGGGTGTCTCTGGTGCAACCCAGAATGACCCGCATTGCTGCGTTCTGTATGCGCTCTAGTTTGTCCATCTGGCTCTTTGAGACGGTAAGCATTCCTAGGCCATAACCATAAGTGCACCAAGTCCTTTTTGGCATCTTGTCACAACACTCTCCGCATGGTCCTTAAAGGACAGGCTCCATATACTTCAGTTTGCTCTCTCTGTTGATGTTTCTACCATCAATCGTGAGGCTTGGGACATTAGCTTTAACGATCCTGTTGTCCAGAGAACACCCCAAAACAGACCCCTTTTCCGGGTGAACGACAGCCCTCATTTCTGTACACCACTCAGTCACTTTGTCTACTGTCACTTGTAGCTCCAGGGCTGTTTGTTCCCTCTCTTTCCCCTGCCTATACGCAAGTATTTAATCCACAAAAGTCAGTATCCTTCCAACTCCTGGTTCTTCTAGGCTAGAAACGTAGAAATAAAGGAAAGGAGAAAGGAAGATGAGTGAGTCGTGGATGTGTATGATAACCGCTCCTGTTCATCACCTACAATCACGGTATAAGCAAGGATGCCAGGCATATTACTACAAATAATAGTAACCTCAATGAATTACTCTTTGCTGATGACCAGGCCTTGACTGCAGAAACAGCCATGAATTTGCAACAACATCTCACAACCATTAATGAAGAATGTTAATCTAATGATATCAGAATCAGCATTAAACAGACAGAAGTAATGACAATAGGAAGAAAGAAGCAGAATTTAAATATAGCATTAGAGTATACATATATTAAACAGACATCTGAGTTTAAATATTTTAGAACACAATTCACTGAAGCAAGCCGTGTATTGGAAGAGATACCCCCCCCCCCCCTCTCCGAGCATAAGGCAATCCCAATCAGCACACACAAAATATATATAATATCATAAAAAGCATATTCATTCCCACCCTATGCTATCAGTGCTAGTCGTGGTCACTTTCAACAAAACATAAAAGAAAATTAGCAACCATGAAAATGAGATGCCCGAGAAAGCTGTAGGAGTGATCAGAAGAGATAATAAAATCAGGAAGGAGGTCATATGAGATAAATTCCGCACAGAAACAATTCTGAATTACATAAAAAGACAGCAAATCAAATGGTCTGCTCACATGCAGAGAATGCCTTCTGATGACATGTAACATAAGAGGAGAGGGACGTAGACAGAGGTATACCAAGAACAATATGGAAAGATAACATCGGTGAAACTCTACAGCACTAAGATGTATCTATGGTCGTAGCAACCAGAAAAGCATGAAACAGGACCTTACATTTTCATCGACACCAAAGCGGCAAAAATAAAGGGCGTAAAGAATAAGAAGAAGAAGAAGGGGGAGAAGAAAAAGAAGAAGAAGGAGGAGGAGGAGAAGGAGGAGGAGGAGGAGAAGGAGGAGGAGGAGGAGAAGGAGGAGGAGGAGGAGAAGAAGAAGAAGAAGAAGAAGAAGAAGAAGAAGAAGAAGAAGAAGAAGAAGAAGAAGAAGAAGAAGAAGAAGAAGAAGAAGAAGAAGAAGAAGATGAAGAAAAAGAAGAAGACGAAAAAAAAGAGAAAAAGAACAAGAAAAAGAAGAACAGACCCGCTGTCTTCACAACAAGCATGTCGTAGGAGTCGACTAACTGGTGGCTTACTTCAAAGTCGGAGTGCATCTGCTCGAGACGCAAGGAAACAGCAATCTGCATATAGTTAAGTCAGATCTGTTAAACGGGTGTGCACTCAACACTCAGATTCAGGAACAAAACTAAAGTCCAGAGCCAAACAACCAGAACTTGATGCCGGAGTTTACAGCCAGTGAACGCGAAGAAGAAGATTACCTAGTATCCATATTAGGCTGGAAGGGAATGTCATTTTGAAAAGAGAAACAATATGTAGAGATTATCTGCACATAAAAATGACCATTACACACGTAATATCGTCATCATCGCCAGCATCACCATCATCAACATCATCTGCTTTATTTGCAGTAAAGCTTTGTGGTTTTGCATCTCCAGCATTTAACCTCCGTTTTCCATTCTACTAGGCTGTTACCGTGAACGAGCGAACTTTCGTGAACGAAAGAACTTTATTTCTAAATAAACTTAAAGAGGAAGAAGAAGATAAGAATAGTATAATTGGGCTGCAAATGAGATCTGTCAAACGGATGCACATGTAACACTCAGGTTCTGAAACAGGACTGCAGTCCAGAAGTGGACGAACAGACATAACTTTCGCCGTAGTTTACAACCGGTGAACACAAAAACGAAAAAGATTTCCGAAGAATCACAAACTGTGTATGCAGGTCTGTCTTACAGTCGGTCCAAGCACAGACTCGTCTTTCACATTCCTGGTGTATTTTTGTTTTAAAATCAACAAAGCATGTTACGTTTTTAAAATAAAATACATAGTATAAATATAGTGAAATTATAAGAATGTTTAATGTCCGTTTATTTCTTTGACATACCCCAGCTATTTACATTCAACTTTTCCATACCGTTATGGTTTACTGTACACTGACTGCTACAGCTATCAAAACAATGAACACCTCTATACAATACAAAACAATGAACACCTCTATACAATACAAAACAATGAACACCTCTATACAATACAAAACAATTTAAAAACTACACAGACTGTCGGTCAACATAACTTAGAAATAAATTAAAACCGCTGCCGTCTGAACTTCCATTCACTAAAGTGTGTTATCCTTTTTAAAAACACAGAAACAGGCCAGAATTATACTCTAAAACCTCAAACATCAGATATATGACTGCTAGGCAGTCTGGCGCCAACGACATAAATCCTATAAGCCCACAATGCACGAAACGTCCAAATCTGTTTATATCAAAACAACATGCAATAAAACAGAAGACACTTGTAGATACTGTTCTCGTATCATTTACGTAAAAACAAAAACATCAGGAAATCAGATGCAGGCCTGTTTAAGTTATCACTCTTTCATAAGCGCTTTAAGGAAGAGCTGGCAACCATTATACAGACCAAAATCCCCTCCGGAAACAGTAAAGCCGCACAATGTTCCTCAGTGTCAAATAATCGGTGATGCCCCTTGCGCCCTGAAGGTAAATGTATCCCGGAAGTGGGATAACAGGGAAAAAACACTATTCATAACGCTAAGATAAAGTCGAGAAACGCCAGCGGCTTAGCTTCGACAAAAAATGGCTTACATGATGCGGTACCGTAGGACAGCAGGCATTAGAGACATCTACAGCAATACGATGTGAGCTCTCATACCGTGTTCTTGAACCTGTGATCCGCAAACCAGCACCGGTACGTGAAAATTCTCCAGTGGTGCGACCAATCTTGTAGCGGCTACAATAGAAACTAAACGGAGAAATCGAATTGACGTTACTGCAGTGCTTCCTCTCTAAGAAACAACCCCCAAACCAGTGGCGAGGAGCGATCAATTCGCAGCTGTAAGCGATAACAAGTAACAACTACACTGGAGAGGGTGTTGTGCAGTATTTTCCGATTCACTGCTTAACTGTTCAGAGTATGCCTGCGTAGCTAGCAACGTAGTACTAGTAACTGATAGCTTTCAGACGACATGGCTTCTGCATGAGTGGAGTAAGCATGCAGCAAGCACTGTGAGA